ATATATATATATACACACACACATATACATTTTGCATGCTGAATTACATTTTAAGTTATTTAAGGACACACGTGTACTATGGGCTAGCGCACAATTTTTGAAATTATTTTTGCAAATATATTGTTTATAAGGGAGGGGTGTTAAACATTTATATTTTAAGAGTGCAGTGCACTTTGAAAATTATTGTATGATTATTGGTTTGTGGTAATTAACAAAGCAGCTTTGTATTAGGAGCTCAGAAAATTGGCTTGTTACCCTGAATTTTGTATGACGAAATAAATAATATTGGACTCTAAGACCATTAGTGTGGCATTCTTGTTTCCTTCAACCTCCAGGTCCTCTTTTAAGAGAACCTGTGGTGAGAGAAGCACATATAAATCAATTGCTGACCTCTCATTCTGAAAATTCTAGCCGTCTGGCTTCAGTAATTTCTGAGTCTCTGATGTGTAGTTCGTGAATATAAACTTTCTAGCGCCATCCATGTTTTACGTAAGGGACTCAAAGTACTGAAGCCAGAAACAGCCTGTCAACTAGAGACAGAGGTCAGCAATAGCAGCTTACATATGCCTTTCAGTGCTGGTTTTAGGCTACACTGCTGAGTATCATGATCTGTCTATTCATGTTTCTGTCTGTTTATATCAGTAATGATTTAACCACATCATTCTTTATACTAAATGCTTTTAGTTCCGATTTAAAAAGTATCACTCAGTACCATTTCTGTAACCTCTTTCCATGTGACAACCTCAGAACTAGATCCAAATGTGAAAGTGGAGGGCGTACATTTGATCCGCCAGAACCTGAAGACTAGTGACACAGCAGTTGTTCAGTGTGAAGCACACAACAAACATGGGCACATCCTTGAAAATGCTTATGTTTATGTTGTTGGTAAGTCCATTTTTGTTTTATTATCTTACATTCAGCTAATACTAGCACTAAATGTAATGGTACATTACATGTCTACTTAGCTCATCACCTCACCCATTGTAGCTAATCCTCCTCACCTACCCAAATCACTGCCTCACTCTGTTTAAATTTTGCAGCATTCAAATCTTGGTTACATGATCTAGCTGTTGGAATATCTTTGAAATGCAGTATGAGAAGCCATTGGGTTATTCTTCCCATCATCTTCCCATCATAAATTCCCTTGAAGACGGTATAGACGGAAATAATTTAAGCCTTACTTTGCTCTTTTTCTTTTCATTAAAGAGCTGGCTCCAGAAATCCTGACACCAGACAAAATGAGCTACAGTGCAGTAGGGAACACAGATGTATTTTTGCATTGTAAATTCTTTGGATCTCCAGCTCCCGTTACCCACTGGTAAGAAATTCTCTTAATAACTAGATTTAATAATTAATGTCGAGCTATACTTTAAAATAACATAAGCCTTATTGCCGCCTTTAGGTTTTTAATACTATACATTAACCATCCCTTGAACATAACCCAGATCCACAAGTGAACCAGCAGGAGCTATTTCCTAATTCTTTTATACTTCTGAGACTGTGGGTCTGAGTGGAAGTTTGTGTGCTTGGCCTATTTCTCCATAAGTTCTGACATTCCATCTCCCTGCTGGCTTGCAAGTAGATAGCTTTTTGATTAGAGCCTATCCATTAAAACAGTTGAGATATAAAACAAAACCATCAAAGTTATACTGTACAGCCAGCTATTTTTTATTTTCATTAAATAGGTTTATAATCTGTGCCAGATTTGATTTCTTTCTGGAGAGCTATCCCTATACAGCTGACTACTTCCTCTGAGACCAGACGTGGGGGTAGTCTATTATGGGAATAATAGCACAAAATCTGAGCAAGGATTTAATACTTCCAGTTACCCTGACAAATGTGTTTTTATTTGTGTGGGGTTTTTTTGGGAGAGATTTCACCTCATTTCCTGTCTATTTGACCATCACTGCTGGCATAACAAGGAAAACAAAAATCTTCCAGAAACACAAAAAGCAGTAAGACTGGAGTTCCTTAGTAACTCGTAGTAATTTTTCTGCTGTCCAAATATTGTAAGTGAACAGCAAACCAAGACCAAAAAAATGGGCTTTAAATGTATCATACAGCACTCCCTTACAAATTTTGATATAAAATAAAAATATATACACTTTATTAATGTACATAAAACATGATTCAATACAGAAAAGAAAGTTAAAAGCAATCCCTCAAAAGTGGCTGATCACTCTCCTTGAGACTATCAGGCTATCACCGGTATCAGTAATAAAGTTCATATGAAAGTAGTTTCCAAGTCACAGCAATGATCAAACTATGTTGATATTTTGTGCATTCAGGAGTCAATGGTGTACCGTGGTCGCGTTCTATACGTATTTTGCACCCACAGGGGGCTTCCTCAGAAGGGAGGTGCTCTATAGTGCTAAACATAGGTATGAATGAATATTTAAGTTTAGTATACAAACAGTATGTGCAAATGGGGTAAAAAAAAAAAAACAACAGAACATCTTAACAAATGACAGTGGTGTTGACCTCGTTTGCTTACATGGCCAGAGAAGGGAGAGGAGTAGCGGCAGTTTAAAAGCATACGACAGAGCCACAAAAGTAGCGCCTAGCTGAATGGGCACATCTATAAATGCTTCCGCCTAGGAAGATGTTAACCTTACAATGAAGATAATAGAAAACCATATTGAATAGCTAAATCCAGAATATAGAGGCATGCAACAATATATCTGAGCTGTCCCAAGGAAAACCCACACACCGAGGGTGAACGTCCACTACCTAAATCAAAACTAAGATCTAAAAACTAATTAGTCACCCTGTTCGACATTACAAACAATGCCCAGGTAAGTTTCTTACCAATATGGTTGCCTGTCTCTAACGTGTGGCAGCGGTGTGTGGAAATAGCTCTTTATATATTTGCCCCTTCCAGAACTTAGTGTGTCACATGACATAAACATTACATCAGGTAGATGGAGATTGTGGTGCAAGCTATAAGCACACACGTGATACAAAGATCTCTTTTTCTTATATGCCCTTCCTAGGGCCAGGAGTAGTCGGTGACACACAGTGTCAAACACCATCAGCTCCCCCCCTAGTGCGTCTCTGCCCACATCACTTTTGTTTGCCTGATGAAGGGACCGGACAGGTTCAGAAACGTTGCCACGCATGGAGATATGACCTGCTAGAATGGATAAAAGGATTTTGTTTTGAAGGAAACTTGGAGTGCTGGTGTCCATTTATTCTGTTTTGCAAGTATTTGGCGGCAGAGGCGGCTCTCTAATTAGGCGAGTTAGGCGGTCGCCTAAGGCCTCGCGCTCACGAGGGGCTCGCGGCCGCCTAGCTCGCCTTTAAGGCTTCAACTAACCTGCCTCTGGTCAGTCAACCCTTGGGCCGGGAGGGAGCAGCCATTTCCTCACGGGGAGAATGTGCGCCGGCGATTCCCCCGCAGCCTCCGCAACGCAACCCCCCTCCCCTTCCTGGATCTGTCACTGAAGAGAGAGGGAGAAGCTGCGCGGCGGGACTTCAGACGCGGCTTCTCCCTCTGGTACTGACGGAACTACTTCCGCCACTTCACTTCATCCTTTCCTGCAGAGGAGAGAGCCCGCCCGGCGTGTCGTGAGGATGCAGAGGCTTCCGTTCCTGCAGCAGCCAGCGGTGACATCGTAGGAGGGCAAGGATGAGGCAGATACAGGCGGTGGGAAACCGGGAGCTGACCCCTCGATCAGGAGCAGTGCCTGCATGGAGTCCAGGTCAGTGAAGCCTTCGTTTTATTTTTTGCACTTTGTACATTATATAAAAAATACAGGGTAGCAAAAAAAAAAAAAAGAAATTCACAGTGTCTAAGGGCTTGTTCACACAAATTGCAATGCGTTCCAGAGCGGTAGCTGCTGGAACGCACCGCAATCGCTTACAAAACTTCCCCGTGCGTTCTGGGGCGGGAGGGGGCATGGTGCTGCATTGAATTCAATAGCACTGCTTCCGCGCCCCCCCGGGTGCAGTGCGATCAGACGCATGACAAAACATTGCCTGCGTTCCGTTCACTGCAAAAGCAAAAAAATAGAGCATGCAGCATTTTTTGCGTTTGCAGTTGAACAGAATGCTGGCAGTGTTTTGCCATGCGTCCGATCACACTACTTATAGAAAGTAGTTTCCCCCCTCTGGCAATTTGATAATTTTTTTTATTTTTTTTTATTTTAAGCATGCATTTTTCTATTTTAAAAGCACCCCTCTTTGTAAAATTAGAAAAATGCATGCTGGAAGAAAAACAAAAACGATCATTCTTTTTTTCAAATACTGTTGTCTTTGTTCACACCTGCTGCTAAAAACTTTTTATATGGGGGCTATTCACAAACGTGTCGTAGGCAGCCGAGTGAATAACCGACCTGAATAGCCGAACTGACCTGTTCGGCTATTCACTTCAGGCTTGTACCTCTGATTTGAGCCGTACACCGAATAAAATCAGCCGTACATCGGCTTGCTGCGGCTGGCTTCGGGTCGGCCGAACATGCTCAGCATGTTCAGCCCACCCGGTGTGCAGAACGAGTTTGACCTCGAACCTCTGGCAGACTATTCGCTGCTGTTCAGCCGATTCTCATATGCCGAAGAGCAGTGAGTGAATAGCCGAATGCCGCTGAGCAGAATAGAAAAATAGTTTTAAAAAAATAGAAAACGATTGGGCGGAGCTAGCAGTGACAGATAGCTCCACCCAACTGTTTTCTATTGGCCGCGACCAGCTGTCATTACAATAAGAGCTTGTCGGAGCCGGCGGCGTGCCGGCTCTGCTGAGTTCTCATGGTACTGACAGATCAGCGTCCCCTGGTTACCAAGTAACCAGGGGACGTTGAACTGTCAGTACCATGAGAGCTCAGCAGAGTCATCTTTCATATCACCTCTGCTAAGCTCTCATTGCAATGCAGGGGGGAGAGAGCACCCCTCTGAAATGATGAAATTATTGCAGATAGCAGAGGAAGCATTAGCTTCTTTGCTAGCTGCAAGTTTCTTTTTTTTTTGTATTCTGACAGCTGCTACCGTCAGAATAATAATAATTAAAAAAAATCAGCATAGGATTGCATAGCTATTTCACTTTGCAATAGCCAATAGCAAGCTGCCTATTGCACCCGCCCTCTGCTGCTGTCAATCACTAGAAGGAGACCTGATGGAGAACGTCAGGTCCCCTCTGCTGATTGACAGCATCAGTGGGCAGGTGCAATAGCTAGTTTGCTATTGGCTACTGCAAAGTGAAATAGCCAATAGGAATGTAGCTATGCATTCCTATGCTGGGGGGTTTTTTCCGGCGGCCGGCGGCTCCGATGTCAGAAAAAAAAAAAGAAAACAACTAAGCAGAAAAAGGTTTACTCTGCTCGATCGAGCAGAGTAAACCTTTCCAGGAGAAAGTGTTTCTCGGCCGGGCGGCGCAATCTAATAGCAGGAGACTCCCGGAGCGTCTGGGAGAGTTGGGATGTAATGACAGATCAGCATCCCTGGTAACCAGGGGATGCTGATCTGTCTCTGCAAGTGGCCGAAGCCAGCTGCTCCGCCCAGCTGTCAGTAGCAGGCTGTCGCCCGGGCCAGCTTCGCCTTTCACCTCGGCTCAGTCGAGCCGAAGCATATGCCTTCGGCTTGACTAAGCCCCTCGGCCAACTTCGGGAGCAGGACGGGCTATAGTGAATAGCCCGTACAGCAGCCCTTCGGTTCTACTGGACCGAAGGGGTCCTGGTGCCGAAGGATCAGCCAAAGCTACGGCTAGATCCTTCGGCAGCTTTGTGAATAACCCCCTTGTGAATAACCCCCTATGTAAAAATGTCAGCTGCCCAATACCAGTGAGTAGATCCTTCTAAATGCCAGACTGATGTCACATATAACCCATGACATACTGTGTGATAGGAAAGCAGGATTTTTTGTGTTTACTACTGAACTGTGCGTTCCTTACATCTGACCTTTGTGCGTTCCTTACATCTGACCTCTGCACACTGTGCGTTCCTTACATCTGACCTCTGCACCCTGTGCGTTCCTTAGATCTGGCCTCTGCACCCTGTGTGTTCCTTACATCTGACCTCTGCATGTTACTTCCTTAGGGTTAGGGTTTTGCGTATAGTTGTTTGTAGAATTAGATATGAGACAGAAATAAGATTCTAGCTCTAGAAGCTGTAAACTCCTGGCTGCTGGGATTAAATGCTAGTCTTACAGTATGCAATGTATACAGTTCATTTTTAATTATTGTTTGCATTTTCTTTCATTATGGGTGTAAGTGGGGGCCTCACGTTTGAGTTTCGCCTAAGGCCTCACAAAGTCTAGAGCCGCCTCTGTTTGGCGGTGCCATCCGCGGCCGCTCCAGAATACCCCCCACACACACACTATCTATAGTGCTTCTCAGTCAGGAGTGTGGTGGGACTCTCTATTTCACGGTATCTGCCCAGAGAGGGATGCAATCTCTCCTGGTGATACAGTAACTGGCGGATCGCACTGGTGGGTCCTCCTCACTGCCCCAGGATAGGCGTGAAGGCTCAGCAACCCAGTACCAATTGTATTAGAGATGGCAAACATAAATAATAAATATGATTATAAATAAACTATGCCCCGGCTGTGTGCAAAAAACAAAACAAAACTATTTGTGGCATACGTCTGCTGCTGCCCCACATAAAAAACAAAATCAGACAGTCATAGCATCATGGTCAAATACATCCTACAAATATCACATATAGTATACAAACATCAATAAACTTTCCATATTCAATTAAAAAGGCATATTATTACACAGGTAAGTCCAAACTCAAATCTATTGACAGTATATTGTCTATTTACAGTCTGTATTAATCTGAGGTGTGTATGTTGGAGTAACTATCCCTCGTCTGGGTGGAACTACTGTCTCTACTGTCTCTACTAAAGGTATAGCCTTTATGGCGAAAAAGGAGGGATTGTGTCCCTCTGTGGGCAGGGACGTGCTGGGCATAGCTGACGGGGGGCTTTGACCTCGCGTGGCGCTGACCCCTCCCGTCCCCAGGACAGACACAATGCATACGCTCAAATGTATCACGTGTGTGTGTGTATAGCTTGCACCAGTATCTCCACCTACCTCCTGTGACATTTATGTCACATGACCACACCAAGTCCTGGAAGGGGCAAATATATAAGGAGCTCTTTCCACATACCGCTGCCATGCTACTTATGGAGAGACATGTTGTAGACAGGAACCATATTGGAAGAAAACTTACCTGGGCATTGTTTGTAGTGTCGGACAGGGTGACCAGTTGGTTTTTAGATAAGTGTTTAATCAGAATATTTATATGCATTTGGGTTTTGATTTAGGTATTGGGCCCCGGTGTGTGGGCTTTCCTTGGGACAGCACAGATATATTGTTGCATGCCTCTATATTCTGAACTTGTCTATTCAATATAGTTAAGTGATTGCTTTCTATTATTGTACATATCATTGTAGTGTTAAGATCTTCCCAGGGGTATGCCTTTTTACGGATGTGCCCATTCAGCTAGGCTTCTCCACTTCCCTCCTCCAGCCATGTAAGCAAACAAGGTTAACACCACTGTTGTTTGTTATAATGTTGTGTTGTATTTGTATCCCATTGGCACATCCAGTAAGTATACTTGCCTAAATATTTATTTATACATATGTTTAGCATTATGGAGCACCTCCCTTCTGAGGAAGCCCCCTGTGGGTGTGAAACACGTAGGGAACGAGACCACAGTATGCCATTGACTTGGATCACGTCTGTGACTTGAGAACTACTTTCATATGACCTTTATTACTGATACTGTTGATAGCCTGATGGTCAATTTTGAGGGATTGCTTTTAACTTTTTCTTTTCTGTATTGAATCAAGTTTTATGTATATTAAAGTTTATATATCAAAATTGTACGGGAGTGGAGTATGATACCTTTTAAAGCCCAATTTTTTTAGTCTTGTTTTGCTGTATATATGCTGTAGGGGTTTGGTATCAATCGCCCTAGGTTAAATATGCCCATTACTTCAATTATTACAAATATTAATAAGTGACAATATCTATTTGATGTACAGTATGTGTAAGGCTTTTCAAATACACAATTTGTAAATTATCTGTGTCCAAGTGGACATCTCATGTAAATCTGTCACTGTACTGAGTTGTTCAGTGAGAGTGAAAAAAGTGCTCTCAACAGCTTTGGTATGTGCTGTTATGTTTTATACCTGCATGCACAACCAATTTAAAATGTATTTACAATGTGTTAATTTCATGTCACTTTTAAAATATATATTGATGGCACAAGTAAGTTAGCCACTCGACTTAAGCTGGCCATACACCTATAGATTATCTGCAGAGTTTCTATGGTCAGATGGAAAAAGTGCAACACAATCCTCCATCTACGCTACACTGTGTGGACGGAGGAATCTCCCACTGGGCCAAGCTTCAGTGTCTTGCCAGTTGGCCCTGCTGGCTCTCAAAATACCTAAACAATGCCTGCATCCAATCAGATTGTTCTGTTGCACTTTTTCCATCTGACCATAGAAAATCTGCACATAATCTATTGGTGTATGGCCAGCTTTAGCCACTCAATAAAGAAAACACCTATTCTGTGTGAAAAAAATACTAATTACTAATGTAATCTCCATATATATAAAAGTCATGCATGTGTGAAAGAATCAAACATTATGGGCTGTGTGTGGACACTTCTCAGCATGGTACGGCTGTCAATGAGTGGTGGCGGGGGAGGGCACAGATTGGCTCCTGTTAACTCAGTGACTTTAAAGAAATCATGTAACCAACTTATACAATTTGCAGGTAAAAGCACAAAAAAGCAGGTATTTTAAATGCTTTTTTTCCATTTCATAAATAATTTTTTAATGTGAAATTGACTAGTCAAATCCCTAGCACAGCCTTCTTCCTCCTTTTGACTTTATAGCTTTCTCCCTGTCTGGGAGTGTCTAACTACTTTCTATGCTAGCCTGGATCCCCCCTCACCTCCCTACATAACCATTTATGTAGCTGCTAATTTAGGGTAATACTATAGAGAGTCACTTGAGTAACACTGAGTCGGCTTGGCCTGCTGACATCACATCCAAGATGGCAACACTCAGAAGCAGTCCTAAGACATTTGGATGCCCATACAAGGTAGCCTTTACAGGTAACAGATGCACAAGGAAAATATGCATAAAATGCACATATAAGTAAACACGGGTAGAACAATTAGAGATAAATAATTCTGGGTGTCTGATTTTGGACATCATTTAATTTGCTCATAAGTAGCCCCCCAGCTTGACAAGTTGAGAAATTATTTATACATTATAAACAAGCTGCCTATGATGCTAGAAAAGTGTCAGCCATGCATGCACAATCTAATCACCAAATGATCCTTCTAATGGAAGAGACGCTTACAAATACTATTGGATAAAATGGAGATTTTTTCTGTCTGCCTACGCTTCTACTTTAATGTCTTTTTACAGGTATGATAAGGATATGAATTCTGTAGTAAGTAAAGACGGCTATGAAATCCTTACAAACGGGAGCATGAAAATCTCAGATGTGCACATTGACGATGAAGGGATTTACTACTGCACTGCAGCAAACAGCAAAGGCAACGTGACTATCTCTGCATATTTAGATGTCAGAAGTGAGTTTGTAGCCAATAATTGCCTATAATGGTTTTATATTTAAAAATGACATAACAAAATAGATAGCACTTTGTAGACTGTTTTTTTGTTTACTTAAAGGATAAGTACATTTTAAAACAAAGTGTAATAAACATTTAGGTCCCTTTTAACCACTTAAAGACGAGGGGTTTCAGACATCCCAACTCTCCCGGATAATAGATAGCAGCTCCTGGACACCCAGGAGAGAAAAATGTTCTCCCGGAAAGGTTTACTCTGCTCGATCTAGTACAGTAAACCTTTCCCTGCAATTTTTTTTCTTTTTTCTGACATCGGGGCCGCCAGTCAGAGGAAAAAAACAAAAACCCAACATAGGAATGCATAGCTAAATTGCTATTGGCTATTACACTTTGTAATAGCCAATAGAAGACTAGCTTTTGCACCCGCCCACTGCTGCTGTACAGGGGACACCCCTGTTGAGTCCCGTTACTCAATGAAAAATAATCGGAAAACAACCCCTTCACTTGTACCCTTGCTGTGAGGATCGAATAGATAGCCTTAATCCACGTGCAGATGTTACGTCCAAAACCCATCCTGGACAGTGTGGAGTGAAGAAAAGGCCAGCTCACCCTGTCAAAAGCCTTCTCGGCATCAGTTGACAATAGAACCGACGGGATGCGGTCCCTGTTTATCAACTGGATGGCATTCAACACTCTGACCGTATTGTCCCTTGCCTCTTGGCGTGGGACAAAGCCCACCTGATCAGGGTGAACCAAATGGAAGATAACCTGTGACACCCTGTTGGCCAGGATTTTGGTGAATAATTTCAGGTCTACGTTGAATAAAGAGATCGGCTTGTAACTTGAACAAAGGGATGGGTCCTTCCCCTCCTTAGGAATGACCGAGATGGTGGCCCTAAATGTATCTGCGAGCAGCGCAGATCCACTCAGAATTTGTAAGCCTTCAAGAATGGTGGCAGTAAGTGAAACAGTTTGTAATAGTGAAAGGAAAATATCCATCTGGGCCAGGCGCTTTACGCGGCTTTAGAATGCTTCAGTGCTCAAGTTACTTTGTCAGCTTCGATAGGAGTGTCAAGTAAGCCTGAATTTTCCAATGCTGGAATAGCTGCGTGTGATAGATAATCTTGAACACAAGACCCATGTGTCGTAAGGGAACTGTTTGAGGCCTCCTGTAACGGCTCCCGGCGGCTCACCCGTGTGACGTCACGGACACGCCGCGGGGTTCCGCCCCCCGGCCGATGACGTGACGTGGCTCCGCCCCCTCCTGCTCTTAAGCCCGAATCTTTCTCTTGTCTGGCGTTCCAGCAATCAATGCGGACGCCAGACCTTCACTGGCCTCGCAGCACAGCGGAGCTCTCTACCATACCTCTTCTCACAGAGCCTTCACATTCCCTCACAGCTCCAGCAGATCCTTGGCAGTACTCTGCAGCCTCTTCATTCAACCAAGGACTCACTGGTCTATGGAGAGGATCAGCTTTCTTTGAAACAGCTAAACTGCAAGTATACTGTGTAGCTCTCCACTGCCATCTGGTGGTAATTCATTGGCGGTGCTTGTTGTACAACCAGGGACTGTGAACTGTTACTGAGTTGCTATACTGTCAGAACTTTGATAAATACTAATTACTAGCAAAACTGGATTGTGAATTGAACTGATCGTTATTGTGTATATCGCTCCTAGCATTACAGTAACTGATCCGCCTGCCAGGTGCAGTGCGGTATACTCACCTGCCTAATAACTTCCCTATAGTAATTGCTCCGCTATTACTCTTTCTCATACCCTGCTTACCACACCACCTCCGTTACCTGCATCATATAACCTACTGCTCATGAAGACAAGAGACCCATAGGGAACACGCTAGTTGCTAGGGCCAGGCAGGTAAAGTACTCTTGGGAGATTGGTGCAATGATGTGCAACACCTAGTGGCGAGATTCATTGCTGCACCCGAAGGCCTCGGGTGTGTGAAGCGGAACGGGGTTCCGCAGCTGAGCTCCATAGCCTCCCTTAGTTAGGGTGTTATACCACAAAAATTATACAAAGAACTGAAAAACTCGCTTCAATAGCATCTGAGCGGAGCTAAGGGTGGCCCATCTCATCTAGTATCTTCGGTACAAAGGATTGGACTTGTTCCTCCCGAAGCAATCTAGCCAGGGGCCTGCCCGGTTTGTTGCCAAACTCGTAAAAGGAGCGTCACCATTTAACTTGTCTAGATTTGACCTTAGCTAGAAGGAAATCACTCGGGCACCTGCGAAGAGCCGACAACTCGTCGACCAATGAATGTGCCAGTGATTGTTTGTGTTGGGACTCCAGATGTCAGATGTTTGTCAAGAGGTCTTCTAACGTCCAGAGTCTGGTCTTCTTTGCTCTGGAGGCTAAAGCTATCAAAACACCTCTGATATAAAATTTTAGTGACTCCCAGACTACCATCGATGAAGCCTCATCAGTTTGGTTAATGGATAGAAAGCTAGTTATCTCCCAGTTTATCTGTAGCTGCACTAATGGGTCATTCAGTAGAGAATCATTCAGGATCCACTGTGAAGACCCTGGGCCGTCGGGGTAAAGAAAAATCTCAAAGTACCGGAGCATGATCTGATAGTGATATGGCATCTATTGAGGAGGATTGTACTGTATGTAGATATCTCTGCTTAACAAAGAATTCTTAATTCTTAACACAGAATCTATTCTGGAGTAGGACTTGTGAGAAGTAGAGTAATATGAATAATCCCTATCCTGCGGATGCAGAGCTCTCCAAACGTCTACCAAGTGATCGGCATGAAGAACTCTGCAAAACCGATGCAGGAATGAATAGGGAAGGTGCGACGCATTCGGGGACACATCTACCCTCGGATCTAATGTCACATTGAAGCCCCCTCTAACTATCACAATGCCCTCTGCAAAGTCCTCCAAGGAGGTCAGGCAGTCTTCTAAAAATGTAATCTGGTCCAAATTTGGTGAATATAAGTTAACAAAGGTCACTTGCATTCCTCTCACAGTCCCTTTGAGGAACAGGAGCCTGCCCTGTCCATCAGCCCTCTCAGCGAGAAAGTGCCACCCTATCACATGACTGAGTAGAATGCTCACCCCTTTGGATTTGGAGCCCGGTGTAGAACTATGGTATACAAATGGGAATCTCGCATTGCTAAATTTTAGGATACTGTCGCTACAAAAGTGCGTTTCTTGGAGAAAGGCCACGTGAGCCCACAGTCGCCACAACTCCCCCAGCACCTGCGAACGCTTCTCGGCTACATTCAACCATTTAATATTTCCGGTAATAAATGTGGTAAGGGAGGAGGAGGCAGCTCTCGGAGTGTTTCGGTTAGACATGTTCCTCTGATTCAGGTACACCACTGGGAGAGATGTAAAAGGTTAGAAACCACGCACGTCTTTGGGGTTTTTTTTGAGTCTTCGTCGTGGACAACTCTTGACATTGTGATTAACCTTTGGATTATGGTGATGGATTTGTCAAAGGACAAAGGACTTGTCAAAACCTTTTTTTTAAATTAAATTATTTTTTCTGGTCTTTTTATTTATTTTTTTACTTTTAACCATTTAGTAAATGAGTAGGGATACAAGTACCCCTTACTCATTCACAAGGGGGGTACCCTGATGCAAATAAGCCCCCTGCCCACAGACCTCCACA